GAGGAAAGGTTTCATGTGAAAGGTGGTACTTGAGCTGTATCTTAAATAAAGACAGGAAGGACTCCGAGGTACAAGTAAGGAAGGAGTACATTCCAGGCCTTCTTTGCCATATGGAACACTGATGATATACCTGAATAACATTTTAAAAATATACAAAGTTTTCAAGATACATGTACAAGAAAACAATAATGAAAATTCCTGTGAACAAAGTAGAAGAGAACATAAAAGAAAATAAGTGCATGTAACTAATTATAATTATAATGGAACTTTATACATATAGCACATGTTCTGGAGTTACTCTGCCAACTTCCATTCATACATGGCAGATCTGATCCCCAGATTTCAATTCTCTCCTCTCCTTTAGAAAGAGTTTAGTGATAAGCATTTATTAAGTGCTTACCACCTGCCAGACACTGTGCTTAGTGTTGAGAAGAAAGGTAAAAGACAGTACCTGCCTTCAAAGAGCACACAATCTAATCAAGGAGATAACTTGCAAACAAATATAGACAAACAAGCTATGTATAATATAAATAGGAAATAACCTACAGGAGAAGGCCCTGGAATTAAGATGGGCTGGGGAAGGCTTCCTATAGAGGGACTGGGTTTGAGAGTTCAGTTACTGGCATTCCAGAGATTTACTTAACAGCATCTTTCTTGTAGAAAGAAAAGCCTAATGCTATGTATGGGCTTGGAGGGGTAGAGTGGGGGATGGAGCAGTAAGGCCTTACCATTCTCTTTTATTGCTATGAATTATTTGGATAAAAAATGACTGATGGGGAGATTATTTATCAGGCCCATACCCACCCCAAAATATATTTCTCCTTTTTGAAGGGATCTAAACAGCAAAGTTGTACAAACATTGAGGGAACTACATAGAACTTGGTGGTGGGGGAAGATTCACAGGAACAGCAACAGGTTTCTCTGACAGTCATCTTCCCTTTTTGGGAGAGCTGATTTGCTGAGTGTTTTTTAGACTTTTTCTATCTATTTATGGCTTCTATGAATCTTTTGCATCTTCTGCATTTTCTGTGGATTGAAATAAAAGTCGTCCTATACTCTACACTCATATTGTTGTTGTTCAGTCTTTTTTCAGTGGTGTCTAACTCTTCATGACCCTATTTGTGATTTTCTTGGCAAAGATACTGGAGTGGTTTGCATTTCCTCCTTCAGCTCTTTTTTGCAAGCAATGAAACTGAGGCAAACTGGGTCAAAAGACTTGCCTAGGGTCACAAAGCTAATATATGTCTGAGGCTATATTTGAACTCAAGAAGTTGAGTCTTCATGACTTTAGGCCCAGCTCTATCCATTGTACTACCTAGCTGACCTCTTTTATATGTCATAACTCATCTTGTTACTTCGTGTGTTTATATAGGATCTGGAGAACATGTTATCTTCCTTTGGGAGAGCCTAGACATGATCTATCCCCTCAGTACAAGTCACCACCAATCTTGAGTGGCATAGGGATTATTTCCTGGCTCTCGAACATTACATCTCAACTGCTAAACAGATCACTAAATAAATAAACCTTGGCTTCACATTTTGTACAGCCAGGTGTTACAGATGTTAAAAAGTAACTCAGTTGCTAGAAGATCCCTGGGATGTGAGGTCTTTGTATGAGAAGCCTTTCTTCCTGACACTGGTTTTTGTTTTAGTCTAGCCTTTCACCTCCTGGTGTGTCTCTTCAAGGTCAGCTAACAGTTGTAGGTTACATGAGGTGTGTCTCAACTGTACCTTGTTAAGAGCTGGTTAAGTCTTGAAGACCACCTAATTAAAACTGCAAGTGCAGGTGGCAGTCCTGACACTTAGGATTGTGGATGTGGGTTTAATGCAAAATGTGCCAGCATCCAGACATTATCACTGGCAGATTGTACCTCCAAATACTCCGCTTTTAAAAAAATCACTTGTTTGTGTAAAAAAAAAAATCCGTCATTTTCATCTACCTCATTTCGAGAATAGGAGTTTTAAGGCTTGTTTTCGCCAGCTCTCTTGTGGAAACCACCTGGGGCAGCTGGTGGAGCAACAGACATTTGTTTCTGATAGCAGGGTGTTTGGAACTTCTGTGGTTTCAATTTCTATTTCAGAATCTGGCTGATGTAACTAACACCTTGTCTTTTCATACTGTTTATGGGTAATTTTGCCATTATTTAAGTTTCAAGGGTGTTGTTTCTAGCATCAGCTGTGTAATATATCATATGAGATATCCCCCCTTTTCCTTCTCCCTCTCTTTACCCAATACCAAATAAAGGTGAAGAAAGCCTAGTAGTGCCAACCTGTGGGCCTTTTTGATCTTTTGATTTATGTGAATCATTAGAAACACAGAATCACAGAAGGCTGGACCTTAGGAATTATATAGGCCAGCCTGCTCATTTTAGAGATGAAATGACTGCCCTGCCCAAAGAAAGGTCAATGACTTGCCCAAGGTCACACACTTAATAACAGATTAAAGAACCCTGGTCTCCTGACTTGTAGTCAAGTGTTCTTTCCATTGTACTATAATGCTTTAGTTAAACTCTAAAAAATTGTTAACAGGAGTAGCTAGGTGGCATAGAGCACCGGCCCTGAAGTCAGGAGGACCTGAGTTCAAATCGGACCTCAGACCAAACACTTGAGACTTACTAGCTGTGTGACCCTGGGCAAGTCACTTAACCTCAACTGCCAATAAATAAATAAATAAAAATAAATTTTTTAAAAAATCTGGTTAACAATTCATTTCTATCTTGATTTAGGGTTTTGCAAAGCATTTTCCTATGAAGTAGAAAGTACAAGAACCCCCTATGCCCATTTTATGGATAAAGAGACTAAGATTCAGGAAGCTTTATTCACTGGCCCAGGATCACATAGGAAATAAATTCAGGACTGGGGTTCAAACCCACTTCCCAGGATACTAAAATAAATGCGAGCAGGTAGGTAGCACAGTGGATAGTGTGCCAGGCCTCAAATCAGGAAGATTTACTTTCCTGAGTTCAAATCTGGCCTCAGAAACTTACTAGCGGTATGACCCTGGGCAATTCACTTAGCCTTGTTTGCCTCAGTTTCATTTGTAAAATGAGTTGGAGAAGGAAGTGGCAAACCACTCCAGTAACTTTGCTATGAAAACCCCAAGAGGGGTCACGAAGAGTCAGACACAACTGAACAACAAAGGTAAAGATCAGTGGAAAATATTCCTTTGAAACCTTGACCTCATCAATCTGCACTCAATCAACAAGAATTTAAGCTCCTACTGTGAGCTAGGCACTGGGTATACAAATAAAAATAATACAGAGAACTTACATTCCAATGGGGAGACAATAAGTGTGTGTGTGTGTAATATAAATAAGGAAGGGAGAATACTAGCAATTGAAGAAATTAGAAAGGGTTTCATGTAGAAAATGGTGTTTAGGCTGTATCTTGAAGAAAGAGAGAAATTCAGTGAAGTACAAATGAGGACAGACTGTTCTAGTACCTGGGCATCAGCAGGATGCCATCTGTGGCTTTTAAAGCTAAAGAGAGGAGATCCTGACAAGATGACTACCTAAACAGGAAACCTACCCAAACCCTACCAGTTCCCCATACCTACTCAAGCAAAACCCTGATAGCATACCAAGTAAGGATCAGCAAAGATATTTTCCACTCCAGAGATCCCGAGGTATAGGTGTAGCCAACCTGGCCCTGAGAGAGGAAAGCTTCCTGTGAGATATATTGCATTGGAGATGTCTCCTAGATGTCTGGTTAGAAACGCCTAATATGTAATTGGTGATGCAAGACTGAAGTTCAGGGGTGAAGACTGGGGCAAGATATATAGATCTCATGCAAAACAGCAAAAATACAGTTCTCTGTACAGCTATGAAAATCATTTCAATTAAGTACCTTTCTGCTACCAAACTCTAGTTATACTCTTACTACTTATCTTGTCTCTTTTCTTTCCCTGATTCATTAGTTTATAACCTCTTTTCTTTCTTTATTTTAAAAGATGAAATTTACTAGAAATAAAGGCAGAGGTAGCATGTCATAGTCAGAATGGAGTGAAGAGGGGTTGTGTCCTGCTTCTGATGCCAATTAGCTATATAATCATGGCAAGCCATTTCTCTAAGCTTCAATCTCCTCATCTGCAAAATGGGTATAGTAATTAGACTGTGGTGAGGACCCAATGAGATAATGCTTTTGCCAAGCGTAATGTACTATAGATATGTCTGCTACTGTTATTAAATCTTGCAGTTACAGAACCTTTTTTTCATTCACTTTCAAATTCCCACAGATTACTGGGTTCAACATAAGAATAACTTAAATGAGCTCTACTAGCTCAAGTCTCAGATAAGCTGGAACTATCTAAAATCATCTAAATATTCAGAAATTTATTAGCAAACCAGGACTAGAAACTTGAATTTGAAAGTAAAGCATTTATTCAAGATTAAAACAAGTAGGAAAATAATCTCAAATGCCACTCAAGGAATTAGGGTAGTTCTATAGTGGTCTTGGGTGAGGGTGAGGGTGGGTGTGGGTGTGGAGGAGAGAATATATTTCCATAAATTCATGATCTAAGATGAAGAGAGGTCCTGGAACCAGTCTCTGAAACCAGTCTCTGAAACCAGGATGTGGAAGCCATCTACAAGATTTCAATATGGGAATTACAATCAGGAACATTCTTGAGGCCACTGCCTCTTGGGGAATCAAGACTCTTCAATCAAACTGCCTTCTATTATACCTTAAGCCATTTAAAACCATATAGCACTTGACAGTTTTTAAGTCCTTTCATATGTGTGTGTATATGTATGTATTTATATTCATTTTTTCAGAGGCTCTCTCCTTACTCAAGGGGCCCAGTTATATTTTGAAAACCTCTCATTTCTCTGAAACTTTGTCCCTGCTCAAGAGGAACATGCCAATTTCAGTACCTGGCACTCTCCCAAGGGTGGCAATTAACTCCCCTAACACACATGGGCTCATAAGGCTCAAATGCAAAAGAGTTTTATTTACCAAGGAAGGAGTGATACCCCAGCCAATGCAGAATTAAGATACTCCTCTCCGTGGCGGGCCACCATCCTCCAAAGGTCTATGTATGCTGTGCCCCTGACAATACTGCCCTAGGTGGGGCACCGGCCAGGAGCCAGGGTTGACCTCTACAAGGTAAGCAGGTATCTTTGTCTGAGATGCCTTGTTCTTTCTCAAGCAGCTTGCCTCTCCTCCACTGCAGTCACCTTTGCTGCTATTGTTATCCTCTGCAGCCTCTGATGGCCGTCTTTTTGATAGTGTTTATTTCAATTTATCTTGCCTTAACAATTGTACCTATCTCGAAGTGTTGTCATGAAGATCAAATAAGATATTTATAGTTAGCACAGTGACTGGCACACAGTAGGTGCTATATAAATGTTTATTCCCTTTCCCTTCCTTTCCCTCTTTCCTTAGTCCTGACCCTGCTGTTTAACTTTATTGTTATAAACTTCAAAAGATATGTTCCTATCAGTTTTAAGCCTTTTAAAACACACACAACTTGACTTATCACAAAATATCTATGAGCTGTAGTGATATGAACTTTCTGGCACTAAAAAATATATGCATTTATTAAAAAGTGACATTTTGAAATGTCTCTTGTACATTGCTGAATATTGTATCCTATATAGCTGTCTACCTTGTCCATCCATAGGCATTTGGCCCAAGTGCTGTGGAAGAGACAAAAAAAAGCCACAAAATACAGAGTCCAGTTGGATAGACAACATGTACATAGGTGAAGTAACTAAAGAATAATTAAAGGTTATAAATAAACCAAGAGGTTCTAGATCTATCACGAAAGGGCCTAAACTCATGTAGGGTGGAGAACCAGATGCCATCTGGCAGCTTTGTCACTGACCACTGGATTCCAGGTGAGAGAGTCAGAGGAAGGGGCCTATGCCCAGTGGAGGCATTTAGGCAGGGGTGTGCTGGAGCCAGCTCTAACCAAGAGAGCCGATTGTCAAATTGTTACCATTTACGCCTTAGAAAGAGGCAAAGACTACACACCAAGACTTAATTCTCTGTTTTGTTGATTGTATAGACTTACTAAAGTGATCCACAAAATGTTAAGGGTGCATATTAAACTTAAGAGAATGCTGTGCATACTTTTTTTTCTGGAGAGCCAGTTGTTAAACATTTACAAGCATACCTCTGCATTCAGTCATAAGGAACTGTTTCAGGCCCTGTGCTATGCCCTGAGATAAACGCAAGTTCAGAAGCAAGTAGCAGCTGTGTGGTTCGGACTGAAGGAGCAGATAAGGATCTCATTTCCAGCTTCTAGACCAATCTGAGGCCTGCAGAGGCATAACCAGGGCAGGAAACCCCGTCTAAAAGGAAGCCTACAAGCTTCACTTGATAACTGACTGAGTGAGTTCTGTCACTTTGAAATAAATAGCTGAGCTTTCCAACTGATTGATAGCACTATTCCATTGTTGTCCAGACTTAAACCCAGGTCAGAACCTTACACAACTCAGACCAGGGGGACAGTGAAGAGAATGCTCTGGATCAGACCACTCTGCGAGCACCGAAAGATTGCAGATCAACTCTCTGAGCTGTCCCTGAAAGCTTGGAATAACACCACTCTCATTATCCCAAGAAAGCAGGAGCAGGGCCATCTTAAATATTCCTTCCAGAAGTATGCAAAGTCTGGACCTAACAAAAAGGAGACTGGAAGAATAAACAAACAAAAATAATCACATCATTAAAAAGCTGTTATATTGAGGGGAACACTCAAGAAGCAAACCCAGACTAGGAGAATGACTCCAAAAAAAATCTGCAAGGAAAGCCTCAAAGTAGAGCACAGCTTGGGCACAAATTCAACTAGAATTCCTTGAATAGATGAAGTAAGAGTTAGAAACGTTTTTATAAATGAAATGAGAGCACGAGAAGAAAAAAATTAGAAATGGAAGCCTTGGGAGAAAAAAATTAGAAAAAGAATGAACAACTTGGCATAAGAGGTACAAAACCTTACCCAAGCAACAAACTCTCTAAAAATGAGAATGGATCAAAGCCAAGGACTCTATGAAACAACAAGAAAAAAAGAAGAAAATGTTAGATATGTTATAGCAAAAACAACTGCCTTGGAAAACAGATCAAGGGGAAAACAATTAAGAATAATTGGACTATCAGAATGTCATACCAAAAAAAAAAGAGTCTAGACATCATATTTTAAGAAATCATAAAAGAAAACTGGCCGTATTTCAGAACCAGAGGGCCAAAGTGGAAAAAAGTCACATCCTGAAAGAAACCCCAAAACGCAAATTCCTAGGAACATTATAGCCAAAATCTAGATCGTCCAGATTAAAGGAAAAAAAGAATACTGCAAGCAGCCAGGAAGAAAGAATTCAAGTACCAAGGAAATCGGTCAGGATTACACAATTTAGCAGCCACTACTATGAAAGAGAAGAAAGCTTGGAATACAGCATTCAAAAGGCAAAGGTTATACGCTTAAGGCCAAGAATAATTTACACTCCCCCCCTCCCCCCTGCACAATTGAGCATAGTGCTCAAGGTAGGCAAAATGAATTTTTAATGAAATAGATGATTTCTAAGCATTCCTGATGAAAAGACCAAATCTGAGCGAAACTTTGAAATGTAAATGCAGGAATCAAGAAAAATATAAAAGGTAAACATAATCATAAGGAAGCACCCAAGGATAAACTACTTACATTTCTAATATAGGGAGATAATACATGTGTCTCCTCTGGACCCTGTTATCAGGAATCATAAAGGGAGTCTAATTAGACAGTAGTCTTTGGAATGGTTCTGTTACACCTTGATGATTTTTAAAAAAGAATGGAAAAAGAAAAGAGGAAATATATGACAGGGGAAAAGAAAGGAAGATCAGGGGAAATTACTCCACATAATTTGGGAGCAAGTAGAAATCTATACAAACAAATAGGAAGATGTGTGGGGAGTATACAGTACTTGAACCCTTCTCTGAACTGGACAAAAGAGAGAAGAATATATACACAGCTGGATACAGAAATACATTTTATTCAACAGTGAAAAAAGAGGGAAAGAAATGAAGAAAAAAGGGGGAATTAAAAGGAGGGCAGACTAAGGGCGGAATTCGTCCTAAGCAAAACAAATTTTAAGGAGGAACAAAAATATTTATAACTCTTTATGAGATGGCAAAGAATTAGAATCTAAGGGGATGCCTATCAGTTGTGGAATGGCTGAACAAATTATGGTATATAAATGTGATGGAATACTGTCGTGGTGTGAGAAATTATGAAGGATATGATTCCAGAAAAACTTGAGAAAACTAGTATGAACTAATGATGAATGGAGTGAACAGAACCAGGAGAGAAACTTATACAATGACAACAGTAGTGTAAAAACAAACAACTTTGAAAGACTGATCTGTATAATGAGCAACCACAGTTCTGGAGGACTAATGGTGAAATATGCTACCCACCCCCTGATAGAGAAGTGAATGACTGAGTACAAAAATGCATACATATATTTGTGTGTGTGTGTGTGTGTGTGTGTGTGTGTGTGTGTGTGTGTCTGTGTCTGTGTCTGTGTCTGTGTCTGTGTGTACGTACAGAGGGCAGCTAGGTGGTGCAGTGGATAGGCCACTGGGCTTAGAATCAGGAAGACTCATCTTTTCTGAGTTCAAATCCAGCCTCAGAGGCTTACTAGCTGTGTCACTTAATCCTGTTTGCCTCAGTTCCTTATCTGTAAAATGAGCTGGAGAAGGAAATGGTAAACCACTCCAGTATCTTTTACAAGAAAACTCCAAAACAGGGTCACAAAGACAAGAACATGACTGAAAAAAAAAACACAACTAAATAACAACATACATATACATAGGGCAGCTAGGTGGCACAGTGGATAGAGTGCTAGGCCTGGAGTCAGGAAGACTTGAGTTCAAATTTGGTCTCAGACACTTATTGGCTATGTGACCCTATGCAGGTCACTTAACCCTATTTGCGTCAGTTTCCTCATCTGTAAAATGAGCTGGAGAAGGAAATGGTAAACCACTCAGTATCCTTGCCAAGAAAACTCATGAAAAGCCTCAGCCTGAATTGGTTGAGCAACAATGTTAAAATGTCCACCAATTGGGATTGGGTGGCGGGGAGGGGGAGTCCCAATGATGTACTGTTGTTAGATGGAAGACACAGCTGGTATAAAAGATCCAGCCAGCTCTCACTAGTGGTCTTTGATGAAAATAGAGGCACATGATTGACTTGTCCTTTATTAATACTTGTTCTTTATTAGTACATCGCATGTCCTTATTAATAACTGATATTACATTCAGAGAAATGGCCTCATTTTACTTATTGGTTTAATTTGTCCTGAAACACCTGTTTGCCTCAGTTTCCTCATTTGTGAAGTGAACTGGAGAAGGAAATAACAAACCATTCCAGTATCTTTGCCAAGAAAACTCCAAATGGGGTCACAAAGAGTAGGAAGGGACTGAAATGAGTAAACAACGCATATATATGCATACACACACACACACACACACACACACACACACACACACACACACACACAAAACGTGACCAATACAGACATTTGTTTCTCTTAACTATTCATGTTTGATTTTCCTTTCTTTCTAAGTTGGGGAGTGGGGTGGGGGTGGGGAAGAGAGTGAAGGAAGATTTTTGCTGATTGAAAAAAATAATTTAATTAATTAGAAAAAATAAAAAATTAAGCAAACAGCTCATTAGACTTCCTAAAAGGTAAAGGCACCTAAATCAACTACTCATTCATCTTCTGCACTGTATGAGCAACTCATGGAGAGTTGACAAGGTCAGTATCTTTCATGGAATGGCTTTAGTCCTCTGGCTGTGGGAGGGCAGTTCCCTGTGGAAGAGCCTCTTCTCCTCTAACAAGCTTGCTCTTAAGGAAGTTTTCTTCCTCTCTGTAAAGCTGGCTTTCCAACTCAGGAATTCTGGATCACTTGGGAACCTCAAACTCAGAACAGCTCATGAGGTAACCTTGAGGCTAGAAACATACATTCTCCGAATTGCTAGTCTCTGGTGTGTGTTCAGAAAAGGAACCAAAAAGACAGAAGTCAGTTTAGGAATTAGAGGTTCAGGAGCTCCACTCTCAGGCTTGCTTGGGGCAAGCAAAGGCCTCTAGTCATGGACTTTTGAAAGTCAACATTTTTTGTTCCTGGAAGGG